TGATGGTTGGGCCATTTAAAAAGACATACGGTAAAATTGATTTCTAGGAGCAGTGTACAGTTCTATGAATTTTATGTTACCGCTATGACAATAGCATACAGACCAGCCCCTTCTCCCCAAAAACCTCCCTCATGCTACCTCTTCATAGTTGCAACCCCCTTGCATCCCTAATCTCTGGTAACTACTGGTCTGTTCTCCATCACTACACTTGTGTCTTTTTCAGACTGTCATATAAATGAAATCATAACATACATAACCTGTTACATAGGTTACATACGTGTAACATTCTTTCATTTAATATAATGCCTTTGAGATTTATCCAAACTTTTTCATGTATCAATAGTTCTTTTTGATTGCTAAGTAGTATTCCATATTTGGGCCTTTTGAAGAAATAGTCAAGCATCTTTGGTGTCATTTCTTTGTGAAAGTTGCCTTACTGAAATTCAAAGTAACTGGTTCAAATTAACAAATGATGTACGGTAGTCCCCCTTATCCACAGGGGACATGTTCCAAGACCCCCAGTGGAGTCCTGAAATCACCAATAGTACCAAACCCTATATATACTACGTTTTTTTCCCTATCCTACAAATGCATACCTATAATAAAGTTTAATTTATAAAGTGGCATAGTGAGAGATTAATAATAGAAAAATTATAACATACTGCAATAAAAGTTATGTGAATGTGGTCTTCCTCTCTCAAAATATCTGTACTGTACTCACCCTGCTTATGATAATGTGAAATGATAAAATGCCTACATGATGAGGCGAGGTGAATGACATGGGCCTTGTGATGTAGTGCTGGGCTACCTGTATTGACCTTCTGATAATACGTAACAAGCACTTTACGGCTTCTCTTTGGCATATCCGAATTGCTAACATTGCTACCCTTGCACTTTGAGGCTACTGAGTAAAGTAAGGGTTACATGAACATAAGCGCTGCGATACGACAGTCGCTCTGATAACTGAGGACTACTAAGTGACTAATGGGTGGGGAGCAGATACAGCACAGTTACACTGCACAAAGGGATGGTCCACATCCCGGACAGGATGGCTCGAGATTTTTATCATGCTATTCAGAATGGTGCACAATTTAAAACCTAAGAATATTTTATTTCTGAAACTTTCTATATTTTCAGACCATGGTTGATCATGGACAATTGTAACAGCAGAACGTGAAACCACATATAAGGGGATACTACTGTATTATATTTTATTTATCGGCAGTTGATGGACATTTAGGCTGTTTCCTTTTTTGCTATAGTGAATAAAGGTGGAACATTTGATTATGTGTTTTGTGTGAATATGTCATTTCCCTTGGGTATGTACATAGGAGTGGAACTGCCAGGTCATATGGTAACTCTGGGTTTAACATTTTGAGGAACTGCCAGACTTTTTACAAAGTGGCTGCACCACTTTACATTCCTACCTGCAGTGTATGACAGGTTGAGATGTTGTGAGAGTGAGAAATCTACTTTTAAGGGATGAAGGTACCCGAGAACATCAATGACAGGGCAGGAAGGAGGTCAGAAGTGGGGACAGGAAAACCCACATCATTTTGGGAGTGACCATGTGAGATTGATTGCTGATTAGAGGAGCCTCCCTTGGGCCAGTGGCTGAAATTGACATAGGTGGGCTCAGCCAGCCTCAAGGTTATGAGCCCGTCAGTTTCGGAGGTCTAAGGAGGCTCCTCTTCTGCACTCATTGCTCAAAGCTCAGAGAGAATAAGCTGTCTCCCAAGATATCAGTGGGAAAAGATTCACTCTCTCCAGAGACGCCCTTGTCTCCATGGTATTGAAAGCAGCCTAGAGCAGTTAGGAGGTGAGGTAGAGATCTTCCACCCATTTGGAGAAACCTGACCCTGAATGAAAGCATCAAGTTCCTGCTTATGGGCGCACCCCTTCTTTGGGACCTCATTGCTACTCACATAGAGCCCTAGCACTTCTCAGCCTGGATAGCACTTATGGGATTAAAGGTCTATCTACTCCACCAGAAAGTGAGGTCCAGAGGCAAGGATCCTGACTTCAATTCAGTCAGCAAATGTTTGTGAAGCTCCTACTATGTACTTGCAGGGTGAGGGTCATGAATGAGACCAAATCCCTGCCCATGGACCTGCCAGTCTATGGACAGGTTCACTTTTGTGTCTCCATCAACTGCCAAGTCCAAGCACACAGTGAGCGCCCAGTAAGTATTCTTTCTCCTTCCCCCACCAGAGGGAAGACTCAAAGTTGTTCCTCTTAGAAGCATCTTCTCATATCTTCAGAGGCTCCAAGGTGATAGGTTATACAGTTCAGTGAGAAGTTCATGAGCAGATTCCTTTAACTTGCTCCAACTCTATAACCCTCACTTTTTTGTAAACTTGAAATCACGTGCCTTTCTGGGAAGACTTGATGCCCCCTACACAGCAGTGCTGTTAACCTATCTTAAGGCACTACTCTTGAACTTCTGATCTTTTCCTCAAACTACAATCACCCATCCCACTGTAAAGGAGGTTATACCCTCGTATAAAACCTATCAAGTTTCTTTCTGTCACTGAACAAAGGTTGTTGGTTTTGTTTGCCCTGGATGCTCATGTTAATCCCCACCTCCTAGGGGAGCAAGATAGACAGAGGGACAGGTTCATTTCAGAAAGTTGAGAAGTGGTTTCAGCTTTTGGTCATTTTTTCTTTGTGTGGAATCCTCTCTTTGCCTCAAGACAAACTTCCTGGAGGAAGTCTGTGTGGGAGGTACCCATGCTCATCCATTGTGCAGTGACAGCAAGTGTTCTCGCCTCCAAATCAACTCCCCAGCACCAGTGATAAGAAGAGGACCCCCCACCCACACATGCAACCAGTTCTTAGCCAAGAAATAATCACCACCTCCCAGCCTCCCCCATTATTAGAAAGCAATAAAAACTTGACAAAAGAGAGACATGTTTGCCTGGTATTATCATTCTTTCATTCAACAAAAACTTAATAGCTCATCTCCTGGGCAGCAGACACACAGCTGGCCCAGAGGATTCAGTGCATGGTCCCTACTCTCAAGGGGTTCACTCCCTGGTGGGAGAGACGATTACACAAAGGGATGATTACAGAACTATCTCTTTGGTCTGTGGTATCTCAACCACACTGAGCAGCATGGGAGGTCCTGAGCAAGTGGTGCTATTTCCTGCCACTGCCTGGAATGCCCCTCCAGTACCACTCCCACCCCAAGCCATTAAGGACCACCCACCTATGTCTGCCTTCTCTGACGCAGGAGAAAAGCCTCAACCTTAATTCAGGTTCTGAAATTTAATTTTTACCTAAGACTGGACATTTCAATTAATGAATTGAGACTTTTTTAACTTAAAAGCAACCATAGTTTTGGGCTTTTTAAACCACAGATTGGCCAGAAAATTTTGAGGCCTGTGCCAGTTTTCATCCAGGGACACGGGAAGCATGAAAACCTCCAGGAAAAAAAATACAAAGAAACAATGGGAGAGAAAAAATCTGTATTATAACATTCTACAAGCCACATTTGCTCAACCTTCCAGCCACCCACACCTGTCTGTCCCTTAAATTGTGAATTCTGTCCTGCCTAGCAGAGAGTTGTGCAAAGACTAAGTGCTCAACTAAGCTGGGGGTGGGCACAGAGCAGAGAAAGGACACTGTGTAGGGCAGGGCAGATTCTGTCCCAGGGAGCTGCTGCTGCTGGCAGCACTCAAGACAACACTGCCACAGGAATCAGCCTCCAGAAGTAAGTGTCTCTCAAGGAGGCTGGATGCTCTTTAATAGCAGCTATCTTTCATTATACAGATAGACCTAGAAACTATCACAAATGCATGCCAGCAAGGTAGTGTGAGTACAAATACAAATCAGCCAAGGTGTAGTTATCAGAAGGTTTCCTACTGGCACTGCGCATGTACAGTGGTTACCAGGGAGCAGAGGAGAGACCCACCTAAAGAAAAGGGTTGTAAGCAGGTAAACCAATAAGGCAGAGGTCATGTGACTGCCTATCTGTGCGCACTGACTTAATTTCACCACTTCGTGAGATGTGCGTCCCACTACAGGTAAGGAAAGTAAGGATGACAGGTTAAGGAACTTACCAAAGTCACACCACTACTAAGTGACACAGCTGGGATCTAAACTCAGGTCTATCTGGCTCTAGAGGTCACAATGCCTGACTGTGGGTGAATATGCTGTCATCTTTTGTTTGCTTGGAGGCTACTCTGTAAGCCTTTAACTGTGCCCAGGCTGATTTAAGGCCTAGGTTCGTAGAGGTGGAGGTCTGAGGGCTGAGCACCGGAAGGCTGCTAAGGAGGGGAGAGACTCCCCCATGCTTCACACAGTTGCCCCCCACTCCCAACTCCAACCACCTCTCTGCTCTGCCATGTTTTCTTGCCAACCCTACCTTGTTTCTCCCATCTGCACTTCTGGGGAGCATGCCCTCAGATGGCCATGCTCACTACCCTCTCTGGCATCACCGGGGCTGGTGGAGAGCAGCCGACACACTAATCAACCCATACCCCTTCCTGGTACTCTCGCCAAAGCTGGGCACCCACTGTTTGCCACCTGGGTGAGGTGGCACAACTGGATTAGCACTGACAGTGAACTGAGGGTCATGGGACCACCCTCAGGAGCCAGGCATGGGCAAGGGGCACTAACTTCCTCCCAAGCCCTGGCCAGCCTTCGCTTGCACCTCTCCTGCTGGTAAGAGGCCAGGGACACAACCAACCCCACTGCTGCTGATCAAAGATGGGCCTCTGACTTTTCAGAGGAACTGACAACAGGGCGGGCGAGGGGGTAGGAGAGGCAAGCTGGTTTAGCTGTGGGACTGGGCTGAAACCCCTCAGCCTGCCCTGACCCCGATAGGCAAATCTGACCTCATCGACTATTGTATAGCAGTAGGACCAGAGCCTAGTCGTCCCCTCTGAAGACTGACCTCCTCCTGGGCAGCTTTCTATCTGCCTTCTCTAAGTCCTCAACACCTAGTATGACGGTTAGCACACAGCAGGGAACAACCTATGGCAAGAAAATACCAGAAATATTTCACAAATTGACATATTTACTTCATTATTTGCTGATCAGTTGAGTGCACATAGATGTATCTAAGTCACTTTTAAGTCATATCACTGCAAAGACACAAACACATGCTAGATCACCCTTCTGGGTGAGAGTCCTGGGGGACACTCAAGTCCCAGCGTGGCGTCTGTCTGTCTTCCATCTGCTCCACCAGCTCTGGCCAGCTCCCCCTGATCCTTCCCTTCTGCTTTCCCTCCTTTCTTTTTTCCTCCTCCCTCCCTTTCTCCCTTCCTTCCCTTTTTTCCTCCAAAATCTGTACTGTTTGGTAGATTCAGACAGAACTGGCTTAGTAGCTTTGTGACCTTGAAAAGGGGCTCTCCCATCTGCAAAGCAGGGCTCTCTAAAAGTGGTAGCTGCTAATGGCCTGCTGTGCAGCCGGCTCCCCAAGCCAGGTGCTGGGCGAGCACTGGGCGTGCATTTAGGGGCCATTACTCCTCACCACAGCCCTTGAAGTAGGTACTGACATTACTCCATTGGTTAGATGGGGAAACCAAGGCTGGAAGAGGCAAGGTAGCTACCCAAGAACAACTTGAGTGGAATTGGGATGAGACTCGGTCTGTCTCTCTCTGCCGATTTCAGGTTCACGAGAACCTACACAGCCGCTTGCTTGCTTCTTCCCTCCTTTCCTTTCAATACAGTGGCAAAGGAAGGACAGGCCGGTCAAAACAAAACGCAGGTTCACAGAAGCCTAAACACTGGTGCCGCTGCAGCTGCTTTGGCATCCTTGTTTCAGGCAGACTGCATTTCACCACTCTGGGACGCTGTAAATTCCATGGAGGCAAGGACCAGGGCTTTTGCTTCTCTGGGCAGGGAGAGACAGTGTCAGGAAGAGTAGCCACTTGGCAGACTGCTGGACGCAATGGGACTGTGAGGGCTCTGGGGCTTGCGGGGGTACGACAAGCAGGGATAGGACAAGTCCACAACAACTAACTAAGACCCGACATAAAGTGGGCTAGAGAGGGCTGCATGGAGCACCGTGGGAGCAGAAGAGAGCGCAGGGAGGACGACTTTCTCAGAGAGAAGTTTATTGGCACCACCCGCCACCACATCCAGTGTTAGGCTCTTTGACTTCAGTGTACTGAATCCTCACAAAGGAGGAAACTGAGCTCGAAGGCAACACCCTTGAAAAGCCGCTGAGCTGGGATTCAAATCCAGATCTGTCCGGTTATAAAACTCATGCCCCGTCCTCTGTACAGGCTGCCATCTGAAAGGACACCCACTCCAGGCCTCAAAGAATGATGTCCAGAATAAATGAATCACTTTCAGAGCAAAGTGAAAAACACATTCTCCCTAAATCTCATATCTAAACTGACTGGAAAAGCAAACATAAAGGACGCTGGGGACACGAACATGGTGAGATGAGCCATCTGAGCAAACGTCAGCCTCTCCTACCCCCAATTTCCTGCTCTCTCGGCCAACAAGGCCAATGGATATTCCAGAACAGCTACCGCTGATTAGTCCCAGAAGAGAGGTCTCTCAACTTCAATATCTTCAGGACAGCTTCACTCCTTGGGCCCTGGAGTCTTAGTTTTGTTTTTTATACTGCAAGACAGAAAGATTGTTGGAATTGGGTGAGGCAAGCCAACAGGAGAGGGAGGACCCAGGAAATCCTGAGGACCATGGTCACCTAGGCCTCAGATGTGCCCTGCAGGGGCTTCTTGGAGGTGGTGGAACCCAGATGGCAGAATCTCTAGTTGGTGCCTGGATCCCTTTTCTTCTTTAATGGAAAAGGAAGCTTATGGGGTTGGGAGGGAGGATAAGAAAAGAAAGACACTGGGAATTAGAATTGAACATACTGGCATGCCCATCATTCCCTTTAGGATGAGTCTATTAGAGAAAAATAAAATCTCAGGTAAGGGGGGACTCTCAGAAGCCATCTAGTGCAATCACTGAGTTTAAACAAATGAATCCTGGACCCCATATTTGGAGAGTCTGGTATAGGACAGGGAGGTGGGACCTGCTCCAGCACTCTAGGTTGTTCTAACACCAAAGTATAAGGACCAGCAAGTCAGTCTATATTCCTGATTCCCTCCCTTTCTCCACGAAAACAGATGCTTGCATGTTTCCTCAATAATGCTGCCTCAGTGTGAATACCTCCAGATACAGGGGGCTCGCTAACCCCCAAGATAGCTCTTTTCTCTGAGACATAGCAAGCCTGCTGCCAGCTATGTCACTATTGCTTCCAGGAAGATTGTTCTCTTTCTTCTTCCTGCCACCCCATCTGTTTATTCAGCCCTGTGAGGCAAAAATTTAGGAATTGAGGGTGTTCCCCCCACTCCCCACCTCCTCTTTACAGAAAACAAATGCAATCAGAAGGGCATCTGCCATCACCTTTCAGCTTCTAGAGGAGGGGAGCAGCTGGGTTGTTCTCAACTGTAGGGCAGAGGTGACCCCTGGTGGTCACAGAGATTACAGCTCACAGGTGGAAGTGGGAGCCAAGCACTTACTTTGTTCATGATCCAGTCAGCATCTTCAATGGCTCTTTTAATAATCTGCTGGATTCTCTCAGGATTGTCTTCATCTGAATGAACTCGGAAACTCTGAAAGTTTAAACATAAAAAAAGATGACAAAATTCACAGGACCGGCAGCTTCAGAGTACCAGGCATGGGCCAGGCATACTGCAGGCACTTTATACTCAGCATCAATCTTACCCCTCCATAGAGAGTTGATCCCACACAGAGATGAGGAAAGAGGCTCAGAAACCCTAACTTGCTGCTAAGCAACAGTGCCAGCATTTGAATCCTACTCTATTCAATTGCATAGCCCATACTCCCACCAGCAGGACACTGTGAAAAGGAAGAGTGGCTCCCAAATTACCCCCAAATCTAGCTGGGCCCAAAGATTTTAAGGCAGTGGGGGGTGGAGTTAAGTGAAATTTCCATCTGTTTCATCTGCTCTTCCCAAGAAGCTGCTTTCACTAGGGCGAGACCTTGGCCTCACAACGGGGAAGAATAGGGCTTCTTCTGGCCCATGCTGTTAAGTCAGGCAGAGAAAGGAGGGGCAGGGGTGGCTTTGGGAAATCCAGTCAGGCCCAGGCTGTTGTTTGCTTTTGACTAGATGTTCACCCTTGAGAAGCTCGCAATGTGAGATTCAGGTTCATCAGTGTGGCACTCAGAACCCTTCAAAAGAAATGGTACCTCCTCTGCCCTATTACTGTCAATCTCATACATCCTCCTACTTGTCTTTAGAGCACCTCAAATGCTCACCTCCAGGAAGTCCTCCCTTACTCCCTCAGATAGCTAACTGCTCCCTTCTCCAGGATTCCACAGCCCTCTGTTGCTATTTTTATTTTTACTTTCCATGTGACATTTGTATGAATTTTAGTCTTTAACTCTTTATTTGGAAATAATTTCAAGAACAACACAAAAGAATTCCCCTCAGAATCACTGATTCTTAACATTTTCCACATTTGCTTTATCATTCTCTCTTTATATGTTTGTATAAAAATGCTGGAAGCATGGTAAAGTTGAGGGCATCATGCCCTTAACTCCTACTAAACACTTCAGTGCGTATTTCCTAACCAGGGCATTCTCTTAATAACCACGGCAATCAAATTGAGAAAATTTAACACTGATAAAACGCTATTATCTAATCTAAAGCCCATATTCCAATTTCATGAATTTCTGCAATAATGTCCTTTATAATAATTGTCTCCTTCTGGCCCAGGATCCAATCTGGGACCGTGCATTACATTTAGGAATCGCATCTCCTCAGTCCTCTTTAAACCAGAGCAATTATTCTGCCTTTCTCTGTGTTTTGTGACATTGACGTTTGACGAGTATGGGCCAGTTCTATGGTAGATGGTCCCTTGGTTTGGGTTTACCTGATGTTTGCTCATAATTAAGTTCAGGTGTGCATTGTTAGCAGCAACGCCTGTTAAAATGATGTTGTGCCCCATACTATTTTAATTAACCATTTAGCTGCCTTATTCAAGCCCTGGCACAGAGCTGGTGTGCTAGATGATGCAACCTCTGTTTCCTGAACAGAAACCAGACAGAGAAGCTAGGCTTCTGGTGGCTCTTACCAAACTGTGGCCCCACCACCACCACCTGAAAGCTCATCCCTGCCCCCTGCCCCCTGCCCCCAACCCCATGAAGGGACCCATATTACAGAAATTATCCCCTACCCATGGCCCAGCATATGCTGCTCCCACCTGCCTGACAGCGTGTTTGTAATGCTCCTGGATGCCCTTCGTGGGCAGCTGCCGGCAACAGCGCAGCAGGTATCGGTAGAGCTGCAGTGGCCTCTGGACCAGCTCTGCCCCTGGTAGTGGAGCCATCCGCAAGACCATCTGTCCCTGGAAAACATAGAGCATCACTTCTAAGGTATCAAGCCAATACTTAGCCCTGACCTCCAACTCCCCGTCCTCTATAAAGCAAGCTTGATACAGCACAGAGGCCAGGTTCCCCTCATGCCAACCCTATGGAACCCAGACCCTGAGCTCAGGCTGAGAATTCAGTCCTATAGAAGTCTAAGCCCGGAGCAGACCTGCAAGGACCAAAGACAAGATGTGCAGCCTCATCTTGGCGTCTTCTTTCTGGACACTAAGTTTAACCGGTGGGTAAGGAGGTGTCACTAACAGGCAGAGTAGGGGAGACAAGCAGAAAAACTGCTGATAAACCAGTTAACCTCAAGCAACAGAGGGCAGGATGCCCAGAGGTCTGAGCCTCGCTACTCAAAGTGTGGCCCTGGACAGGCAGCACTGACATTGCCCAAGAGCTTGTTAGAAATGCAGAATCTCAGCCCCACCTACTAGACAGAACCTGCGTTTTAACAAAATAACGATTTTAACAATTCTAGAGGGCTCTGCATGAAGCAGCAGCTACTTACAGAGTTGTCATGCTGACCAGGGCCTGGGCACACGATTTCATTTTACTGTGTATTATAAATAAGAATAATGAGCACTTGTTCTGTCCTATTCACTTTACTTAGTGACTAATGCACACATTAAAAAAATCAGCACAGCACCGCAATGTTCACTGCAGCACTATTTACAATAGCCAAGATACGGAAGCAACCTGAGTGGCCAATGGTAGAAAATTGAATAAAGAAGAAACAGCACATATATACAATGGACTATTACTCAGCCATAAAAAATGAAATCGATGGACCTAGGGGGTATTATGCTAAGTAAAATAAGTCAGACAAATACGATATGGCCTCACTTATGTGTGGAATCTAAAGAATAAAATAAACAACAACAATTACAAAAAAAAAACAAAGACAGGACTCATAGATACAGAGAAAAAACTGATAGTTACCAGATAGGATGGGGGTTGGCGGGATGGGTAAAAAACGTGAAGGGATTAAGAAGTGGTTACAAATTGGTAGTTACAAAATAGTCATGGGGATGTAAAGTATAGCATAGGGAAAATAATCAATAATATTGTAATAACTATAGTGCCGGGTAGGTACTAGACTTATCAGGGGGATCACTTCATAAATTATATAAATGTCTAACCACTACACCTGTGTCTAACCACTACAGCTGTACACCTGAAACTAATATAAAATAATATTGAATGTCAACTATAATTGAAAAATAAATAAACAATCAGCACAGAGAGGTCTGACAACTTGCCCAAGGTCATACAGTTGATAAGGATAGAGCTGGGATTCGAACCCAAAAAAGCTCCAGAGACCACCTTTTATTTTTATTTTTTTAAAAACTTTATCAAGATGTAGTTAATATACAATTAACTGCACATATTTAAAGTGTACAATCTGATAAGTTTTGACATATTTATATACCTAAGAAGCCATCATCACAATCAAGAGAGCGAATACCTCCATCACCCCCATGTTTCCTCATGCTTCTTTGTAATCCCTCCCTCCTACCCTCACCACTCCCCACTCCCAAAGCAAGCACTGCTTTGTCACTTCAGATCAGTTTGCATTTTCCCGAGTTTTACCTAAAAAGATAGAGAACATGCTCTTCTGTGTCTGCTTTTGTGTCTGCAGAATCCATATTTTTAACCTCTGTATTACAACGGCTCTCTCCAAAGAGAGAGCCTACAACTCTAATCCGGCCTCTTATTTTTTAAAGCAGGACGCTCTAAGAATATAGATTTTTTTTCCAATGGTAGATTCTAGAACATAAGAACTTATTAAGTTTCTGCTAAGTACTTTCCAGCCCATAACTGTCCCCTTCTTTATGCTCACTGCACCATAGGCTCCCGCCTAGGCATCTGCCACAGCGTCTTACCTGGTGTCCCTGCCCCCAGCCTGTCACTCTCTAGTCTCCTCCACAGACTCCGTGTCCTGGGTTCATCCCACAGTCGGCCACAAGGAATTTCTCCCAGATGCCCCAAATCCACAAGTACATCACCTCTTGGTGCCTTTGCTTATGCAGTCCCCTGAACGTAGAGCTCCCTTCCCCTCTTCTGGTGAGGAACTCACGTTCAGCCTACCAAGTCCAGCTCAGTGTCACTGCCTCTAGGAAGCCCTTCCTGACTGTCCCTCCCTGGTGGGGCTGCAGTACCCTGCTCACAGAGCTGTTATAGTGCTTCCCACACTGCCAGGGATTCATCTGCTGCCAGGCCTGTGGAGCCTGGCCCAGGCCCCGGCGCTTAGTGTCCTGTTTGTTGAACTGGACTGAATGGAATGTGTTATCTCCTCTGTACAGATTTCCTCTCTATGACAGAAAAGCTCACTATATTCCAAATGAAGGAGCTAAAAGACCAAGGTTAAATGATGCCTTGGTTTTAAAGTAACATTAAAAAAAAGAAGGAAAGGCAACCCCCTCCTCATCAAAAAGAGAACCAGAATTCTAAATCTATCAGAAGTCCTTAGACTACGAAAAGAAACTCATTAAGTAACTAATTTCAAAGGCTCCTTCATTCCATTTCTAGCATATTATCTTCCTGACATATTATCTCCACAGCTAAGTTTGCCAATTGCTCATGGTACTCTGGTCTCTAGCTCTAACACAGGGGTGGGCAAGTTGTTGTCTGTCCTAAACACCCATCCTCCCTTTTGGTAACAGCCACAGATGTGTGACTGGTGATCCACTCCTCCCCAGGTCTCAGCTCATACGCTCTGGGTGAAGCTTTGCTCCAGGCCTAACCAATCAGAGATGTGCAACCATATGGTCACAGGGACTGGTTCACAGATGGGCACATGATGGAAGCTGAGTGAATCTCAACACCTTTGCAAGAGTGACTGCAAAGGACTCAACATTTTCTCTAGACTTGATGCTGAGAAGACTTGATACTATCTCAGGGAGGCCATCTTGCCTTTTCTTAAAGCCTGAGACTAAAGCCACACAGCAGAAGGCAGAGCTAAGAACCTGGGCTAAAACCAAGTCTGAAGAACTCATTCGAGCCCCAAAACCATCCACCTGAAGGCGGTCCCACCCCTAGACTTTTCAATGATCCAAGCCAATTAATCCCCTTTGCCAAAGCAACTTGAGTTTGCTGTTTTGTCACTTGAAACCAAGAGTCCTAACTGATCAAAAAATCTTAATCTCTCAAATTCTGCTTCCATGATTAGTTCTAATGTTTCAACTCTAAGAAAGAATACAAAGGTCCTCCTGCCACAAATATCAGCTGGCCCGGCTGCCTAGCCATGCTTCAGTCCAACAAATTGAGGAGAACACCATACAATCGGGACAAATACCTTCAAAGGCCACCACAGAGGACATTCCACTGAAGTCCCTAACCCAATGGGCAGACTCCACTGGCAGGCTTCCCCAAACTATATAAAGTGCTAATCGAATATCGTAAAATGCCAGTCGTGTAACAGATGGTCGCCAGCTGCAGTCTTCAAAATTAACATTTGGAAAGAGCACAGCTTTGTTTCATTACTTAAAATCCCAGGCAATACTTAGAAACCAACTCAGCAAGTATGGGCGGGAGATTATTTTCAGCTCAATTATAATTCTTAGTCATTCTCAGTAATATCTAGCAGAGAATGCATGTGTGGGTCCACTCAGAAGAGTTAAACTAAAAATGTTTTAATTTAATTTAAAGTGTGGGTTTGCTATTATTTAAGGGGCAATGAACCTCACAACATCATTGCTAAAACGGTAGTCAAACCCTGTGGCCCTAAGAGCACTCACTTCACATATCCTGCTCTTCGGACTTGACCTTAGGCTCTCCACCTGGAGAGGGCTCCCTGCCCCTGTGAAGGCACTGCCATCTTCCCAGGCAACCAAATCAAAATCATCACCGAGCCAACCCACTCCTCCTTCTTCCTCAATTCCCATGCCATTGGTCTCTAAGTCCTATTCAATTCTACCTCTGAATGCCCTCTCAAATCTGTCCCCTCCTATTTCCACTGCGCACCCTTGGTTAAGGCTCTTATCACAGCTCATGTGGACAACTCCGAGAGTTCCCAGCAGGTCTCCCTGTCTTCCAATCTGTTCTCCATTCAATGGCCAGGGTGAATCTTTCCAAAATGTAACTCTCGGTATGTCGCGTTCCTGCCTAAAACCCCTGATATCCACCGTTACCCACCTCCCCTATCATTCATGACAACTTTTCCCAGAATGTGAGTCAAATACGAAATTCCTTTAAGCAGTATGTGGAGCAACACCTTTTTATTGTAATGATTTTATATTTATTTTCATATGTAATGAGAAAAAAAATCCCATCATTTCATATGTATTATGGTTTAAAAGTTTTAAAAATGGCTTAAAACTGATTTTTTAAAATGCATTAAGCAAATAAGAATGCAGTTAAATGTGGATATGATGAAAATCATACAAGTGGTACTGAAGTTTGGAAAGCACTAGTCTACAGAATAAAATCCATACTCCTTTCCAGGGCCTCCAAGGCCCTCTTGATCTGGCCCGTACCCACATCCTCTTCACATCTCCCACCACCCACTACCAGGCCTGGCAAACTGAGCTCTGAGTGACACACTCCGTGACATCCTATTGTATGTTCACCTGCTATGTGACAGAATGCATATAGTAGATGTATTAGGATTCTGTAGAGACAAAAAGAAATAGGAGATAGATAGATAGATAGATAGATAGATAGATAGATAGATAGATAGATAGATAGATAGACAGACAGACAGACAGACAGGCAGGCAGGCAGACAGATGGACGGACAAGAGATAGATGATAGACAGAGATAAAGATAGACAGAAAGACAGATAGACAAATTCAAAATCTGTAGAGTTCATGTTCCAGTTTGAGTCTGAAGGCCAGAAGCTGTTATAAAACCAGGAAGAGCCAATATTCCAGTTTGAAGGCTGTCAGGCAAGCGAATTCTCTTACTCAGGGGAGAGACAGTCTATTGTTCTCCTCAGGCCTTCAAGTGCTTAGATGAGGGCCACCCACATCAGGGAAGACAATCTGCTTCACTCAGTCTCCTGATTTAAATGTTAATCTTATCCAAAAATACCTTCACGGACACATCCAAAATAACATTTGGCCAAAAATCTGGGCACCCATGGCCCAGTCAAGTTGACACATAAACTTAACCATCACAGTAGATGCTCAGTATCTATATGTTGAATGAATCCTACTTCTTCTTACAATACCCTTATCCGTTTCCTGCAGATCTCTTGATCCTTCGACACTCAGCTGAGGTCTGGCACCTCCTCCAGGAAGCCCTCACTGACCTAAGCACTCCTGCCACCATGCTCTGTGAGAGGCCCGTGGATACCTCAAACAGACCTCATCACCCCACATTACTCTAGTTCAGGCTCCATCACCTCTCCCCTGGAGTACTGGAAGGGTAATTACCTTCCCTCCAACCCCTGCCAGCCATCCTTTACATGGCAGTCACAATGCTTTATCTAACTCCAAACTTAAATTCTCCCCAAAGCTGGACATGATATTGGATGTTATTATTAGTTAATTTACTTAGGTATAATAACAATGTTGTGGTTATGTGGGAGACTGTTCTTATTCTAAGGAGATGCAAGTAGAAGTATTTCAAGGTGATGTGTCATCACATCTGCAACTGATTTTCAAATGGTTCATCAAAAGACAACACAGAAAGAGAAAACACAGAGTGAGAAAGATAAAGCAAACACAACAAAATGTTAAGATTGTGTTTAGACAGCAGGTGTAAGGATAGGTATTGTGCTGTTATTTCAACTTCTATATATTTTGAAAATTGTCATAACAAAAAGTTATTTTTGAAAAATCCTCCCGCAGCTTTGCCATCACCTAGTGGATAAAGCCTTAAACTCTTTAGGCTGACACCAATTCCTAAAGCTTTTTTACCTGCCAAGATTCATCCCTCATCACTCTTCCACCTGCCAGGCACACTGACACACCACTTAGAGTTCCTTTAACAATAACACCAATAATAATAATAATAACAATCACTAACAATTATTATTACACCTGCTTTACTGAATAGTTACCATGTGATAAGTCCTATTCTAAACAAGGCAAGTGAATTAACTAATTTTAATCTTCACAATAACTCTACAAGAAGGTACCATTATACTCTTCCTTTACAGATAAAGAAACAGAGGCAAAAAAAAAAAAAGGGTAGGAAATTTGTCCAAGTTCAGACAGCTGAGTGCAGAAGCCAGGATTTCTACCCAGGAAGTCTGGCTCCAGAGGCCGTGGTGGATGCTCCCTGGAACACTAGCCCCATTCTCTGAATAAACTTCTACTTATCCTGTAGCTGACATTTGTGGTTTTTTCTAACAGCTCTCCCTGTCCTAATTTCTTTTTAAGGGATGACTTCTTTCCATTGAGTTAGGCCTGCTGAGACTGTTACCAGTGGCTCGATCTCTCCCAGGCACAAATTGAGCATTGGACCCCAGCTAGGTTGATTGAGTATTCCCCACCTCTGGAAATGGGTTGTCGAACAGGGTTACAAAAGAGCCTGAAAATGACTTCATGTACTCCAGCAGTAGTATGCCCTGATCAGCTTCTTCCTGCTCTGAATTGTCCTTGTAGGTCCTGCCGCCTCGTCTGCCAGAAATGTCTAGATTACTGCCCAATTCTCCAGCTTTCTCCCTTGATTCTGTGAGCTCCTAGCATTCTTGCAATTAACTTCTTTTTGACTGAGTCCTTCTATCCATTCTTACACAGAACTAGACTCTTTCTATTATCCGTTTGCATGTAGCCTGTTGTACCTGCTTAGGTTAGCAGGAATCACCCCATGCTCCGAGGGTTTGCCTCTCAATTTCCCTGACCAGACCAAACTCCCATGCGGGCACGGACTGAGTCAGTTCCTCCATCTCTGTTCCTTCAATGCCTAGCACAGTCCTGGGCACATAGTGAACTTCTCCATAAATGCTTGCCAACTGAATAACCTCAAAATCTGACCCCGCCCCTAACTTGAGAAAACAACAGCTTAGCCTTCTCCCAGCCTAATGGCCCCGAGGATCCAAATGTGGCTGAGACAGACCCAAGGTCTGTGGATTTCATTGATTCAATTAGCTCTGTATACATCAAAGAGAAAAAATATATATTTGTTTAGTCAAATAATATTTATTTAGCTTTTTCCTAAGTAAGAACTGAATTCTGGTTATTCCTCCTGCAGCCTTTCATGAATTAGGAAGTTATAAAATCACTTAAGGTAGCAGGCTTGGCTCACAGTAGGCTCTCAGTAAAAGATGTTAATTGAATGAACAGAAAAACAGTCCAAAGTAAGCAGTCTTTCAAAACCAGAACACTGAAAAGCTGGAAGCCACCTTCTCCATCTAATATAAAACAAATCTCTTCTCCACATCTCTGGCAGCCCAAGATGTCAGAAAATACTTTTGGTTCTGAGCTAAAATCTGCTCTATAAAATTCTAATTATTGGTCTGAGCTCTGCCCTTTGGAGCTAAAGTCTCTGCTAAAATACCCCCAAGTCCTGTCTTTAATTATTCAAAGTCAATTATCCCAACTCTCATTCATTTCTTTTCCAAGATAACCACCCTGCCTGTCTGTCCAATTCACTCACCCTCCTCTGGACACACTCACCCTCATTAATGATCTCACAATTAAAATCGCAGTTTGCTTGTGTTCTGACCAGCGCCATGGGCAGCCGCGCTCAGGTGGCACTATCACTTCCTCAACTTGGGAATTCAAGGAATGCAACTCAGACCGAATTCTCTGGGCCCTTACCTGGCCCTGACATTCAGTTCAAAGGTACCTTTTTTCTCATGAACTATGCTTTTTTGTTTTCCATGAACTTAAGTCTGTTTCCCTATCTTGCATTTTACTGGTTCAGTCCAGAGTCACAATCTCTGGGATGCCTGATCCTTTCTGTTATACAACTCAACTCAATTCAGCATAACAAAAGCATAGAAACGATCACATGCCCGGTACAAATGGGGTACAAAGAAAGAGAGATTAACCCCAGCAGGCTGTGTCGGTCACCCATACAATGCCATTCAGAGCATCTAACATGTGCGTGGCTCTGGACTCAGCCCTAGGACCACAGAGTTGAAAGGCCTGACATGTTAAGGAACAGTCTTACCCCAAGCCTCCCACAAAGCTGATAGCATGTCTTACTAGCTACCATGTGCCAGGTAGGTGTTGAGAGCTTTACATGTGTTGTGTCATGTATCCTCACAACAAACTTATGGGGTATATGTCATTAGCCCCATTTTAGAGATGAGGAAACTGAGGTTCTGACAGGTTAAAGTAACTTGGCAGAGGCCACACAGCTAATGCATGGTCAGGTCTATTTGATTCCAAAGCCCATGCCCTTACCAGCTTTTAACGCCACCTGCTATGTTGATATCTGAGCCACCCACAAAAGGCTGCCCAAATCAAGCTAAGGACTTCGCAGAGAACTCTCCCTAGGGCTCATTCAAGACCAGGTCTAAGCATTCATGAAAGCACTTGACTGTTCTATTATTCAGCACTTATTTTCCAGCCTTCTCCATAAAACCTTGCTTCATGCTTTTCAGAAACACAAGGACACCATCTATAGCTTCCCCTGCATATAGATCAAAAAAAGTTACAAGGCTGATGTCAATTACACAAAGGGGCAACTAAGGATTTGCATTCAAAAAGTTCTTAGGAAATCCAAAAGAGAATATGATAGAATAAAGGAAAAGAACACAAAGGGATTTCCTGGGAGCCAAATGGTACCATGGGCACAGATGCTAAGAAACAGGCCTACAGCCCCACTTAACCTCATTGTCTCTTTCCTTGATTTTTGCCCTGACATAGGGTGCCTAAAAATAAGTAGAAAAAAATGAAAGAAAGGAAGAAAGGAAGGAAAGTAGGAAGGAAGGAACTAGGGAACATAACTGGAAATCATGCCCTATTGAGCACAAGCTAAATCAAGCTTGCATAGGCCATTGTTTAAATATGCAATTATTCTTCTGGATAGGGAAAGTCACAATATAGGATGAAAGCAGTTCTGCTCCCCACAACTCTGGGGTTCCAGCTTGCACATGTGCATTCTCCAAGCTAGAAATCAGGCAGCAATGCTTACTCCTCCAGTCTCTCTTCTACATAGTGGAGGCTCTCGAACCAGCCCTCTAAACTCCACCCCCTCATACCCTCTTCACCCCCTGGGCACTACCTTGGTTCCCAGCTTTGTAACAATGTCTCTTTCAGACTATCCCAATACCTCCCAATCAGTCTCTTTCCTTCCAGTCCAACCCCCACATTGCTGCCCAAGGACACTTCCTAAAAAACACACCCTGTCATGCTCCTTCTCCAAAATCTCTGTGAAGTATTCTTTACCCATGGCCTTCCAAAATCTGGCTCCAACTTCTCTCAACAAACTCATCTCTTACTGTCCTTCTTGCACGTCCTGCATTTTAGCCACACTGAACTTGGAGGTTAAGTTCATGGACTTTAGGATCAGATAGTCTGGGTTCAAATCCTGACTCCATTACTTGCCTGGGCAAGTTTCTTAACTTCCATCTCATTGTTTGTTGCACATTTGTCAGTGGGGCCGCTGACGGTATTTCCTACATAGAATCATTGTGAGAATTAAATAATGTTCCTAAACCACTAGCACCATGCCTGGCACATACTATGTGCTAACTATTCGTTGTTATTGTTAATAGCATCTTTGAAATGTGCTGTGCTTTTCAACATCTCTCTTTCTCCTACCTTGAATTCTTTACCCACCTCAAGAATTCCTCTTTATCTTTAAAGATCCAGTTCCTAGGTCACCTCTTTCAGGGTTTCACTCCATGCTATCCATGCTCATCACACTGTACTATAACCATTTATGTAACAATGTGATGGAATAGCACAGAGCAGGTTTTGATGACAAACCATCCTTATTTTGGAGCTTACCTCTGCCATGTACTAGCTGTGTAATACTGGGCAACTTGCTTGACTTCTCTGTACTTCTGCCTCCTCCTCTGTAAATTGGAGAATGGAATATATACCTCAAGAAAACAGGGGGTGGAATATAAAGATCAAGCAAGCTAACATAAGTGAAGTGCCTAGCACAGGGGCTGGCATATATTAGGCACCTGAATATCTTACCCTTTCCTACTCTACCTGGCTGTCTGTATTCCTTGCTAACTGTAAGTTACTGGATGACAGAGACTATATTGTATTAGACATCCCTCCACAATCAACAGTGCCCAGAACATAATAAAAGCTCAATAAATATGTGTTGATTGACTCCCTCTAAACCAGAGAAGAAACTAAAGCCAGGAGGAAAGTGATTGTCCTGAAATCACAAAGCCATCTCAAACTCAAGTTCTTTGGCTCTGAACCCTCAGCTCTTTCTACCACACCTGCTATCTCAAAGGCTAAGGAGTCACCCTGAACATCACATCTGTCAGCCCAAATTGCCGAGTCTTTCTTTACCAGTTTCAAGTGAACCTCGTGAGCTATCCCAGCCAAAGCAAACATGTTTGATCCAGAGCTGAATAACGGGGAACCCGAACTGAATCATTGTAACATCAGACTGCTTTGTTACAGTGGCCTCCCACACACAGGCCACAAAACTCTCTGGTTTGAGGGCAAATGAAGAGAACAAATGTATTGTATACGTACCAGGTGTTAAACAATGGGCTGAGTACTTCAGGGGAGCTACTTAATCTACAACCCTATTATTCCCACTTTATAGAGGAAAAAGACTAAGGCTCAAGGTCACACAAAACTAGGAGGGAGCCACAGCTGTACCCAGGTCTCTGCCTTCCTAACTCAAACTCTTTCTACACATACCCAGGGCTTGTCTGAGAGGATCATTGAGCCAAAAATCCCTGGTTTATCCTTTTCTTCACCCCCTCCCACTACCCCTGGCCTTCTTGCTTGTCCTCACATACCCAGCCACTCTTCAGGGTGCCCACATGGTCCACCCCACCCCCAATGATCCAGGTCTCACACAAGAGGCCTTTGTTGGCTACACTATAGTCTCTTCTATTTATCTTCATGGCATTCTTCACTTTATATTTATATTCCCCCACTGAGATGTAAGCTCCATAAAAGCAGGGAGTTTATCTTGTTTATAACTGCATCCCTAGTACAGTACAGTGCCTGACACATATAGGGGTGTGTGAGTAGTACTAGTCATTGAGCACCAACAAGGTGCTGGGTGCTGCGGATACAGAAACAAACACAAGAGCCCCTATTCCCATGGAACTTACACATTAACAAAAAAAGATAATAAAAACCAATTATAACTTAATACTACAAAGTGGAATTCTAGTCCTTGAGAGACTGGCTCATGGGGTCCTTCACCCAGTCAAGGGTCAGAGTTGTTTTCTTAAAAAAGAGACAAAATTAATCTGAGGTCTGAGGGAAGAGCAGGATTTCGTTGGGTGAAGGTGAAGATGGAGGGGTGATGAAGACAGAGCTGCCTGCAGCCTGCATGAAAGCCTAAGGGAGGTAGGGATTGCCAGGCCCACAGAAGCCCAAGAAGGCAGGGAGGGCAAACAAGAGCATAGAGGATACAGTCGGGAAGGTGGGGTCAGATCCAGAAGGGCCTGGTAGGTGGTGAGGGGTTAGATTAGTCCTGAGGTCCATCAGCTGATGAATGGATAAATAAAACATGGTACCTTCATACAATGGAATATTATTTGTAATTGAAAAGAAGTGAACTACTGATACATGCTACATGGATGAACCTTGAAAATATTACTCTAAGTGAAAGAAGCTAGTCACAAAAGACCAAATACTGTATGATTTCATTTATGCACAAAGTGCAGAACAGGCAAATCTATAGACAAAGTAGGTTAGCGCTTGCTAGGGCTGGGGGAAGGGGACATGGGGGCAGTTACGACTAAAGGTTTCTTTTTGGAAGTAATGAAAATGTTCTAAAATTGATTATGGTGATGGATGGTGTTCAAGTCTGTGAATGTATTACATTCAATTGTGCATTTTAATTGCATGCTATGTAAAAGCTAACAAAAGATTAGTCTTAAGGGCTAAGGGGTTTGGCTACGAGTGACTTCATTTGTTACTCAGAAGCATAAATCAAAACGTGAAGGTTACTCCAGGTAACAACACTCACAGGGCACTCTGGGTAGATGGACCGTGCGGGGGCTACGTCTACTTTTTTAAATGAGCAAACCGAAGCTGACCACGGAGGCGTGTGCCAGACAATGAACATTAAACTAGCTAGCCCGGGGACCCGGCTTCACAGAGGAGTCTGAAGACCCTTGAGCTCTTTGTGGCCCCCACGCCCCTGCTGGAGGCCTGGGGCCTTCTCCGCTCCTCCCAGCCGCCCCGACGAGGCCTGCGAAAAGTCACGCTCCAGGCCACCCGGCTCTTCAGGGGCACGAGAACGGACGGGGGAAAGGAAGGGAGTACTGCAGGTCGCCGCTAGGTCTTCCACAGGCCACGCAAAGCCAAGGATTCCCAAAGTGTCACACGCCCAGCCCACCCCGTTGCCCCAGCGGCTCCGCGCGCCCCCGCCCTCCGCCTGCGCCCAGCGGCTCACCCGCCTCCACTGAGGAACGTGAACCCCGGACGCGGAGGACGCGGAGCCGCGACTGCGCCTGCGCCCCCGGACATGCGCAGCACCGCCCCCGCCTGGCCACTGTGCGCCCAGCGCCCTCTGTCGGCCGCGTGCGGGACTCGGGGTCCCCAACATGTGATAGCTGCTGGGTTCCCCTTCCCTGATCCAACCGACCCAGTAGAAAAAGAAAGCTATCCCACTAACAGCCGTCTTTACCTTAAGCACCTACTCTTCTTTCGGGCTGTTGCTACCTCAGAAATAAGCCCTAAAAGGCAGACTCTCCCCCATATTCTTGAATACGGATCACTGCTAAAATATTAGGAGTGTTCAAGATCTGTGAAAAGGCTTGCTAGAGGTCTTTTCCTAAACCACTCGTGTTGATGACAAGAATTATATTTGGATGGGAATCTGCGTTTTGAATTATTTCATCAAATTACAGTCCCATAACACCTGTCAAAAGAATAAATATGACAGTAATAGGCATGCTTCCTTTCAGACCCATTATAATTATAATTGAGGAAAAGAATACAGAATTTAAACTCAGAGCTACTGCCAGTATCATTCTTTGAAAATGAAATAATGCTGTTTTATTAAATAGGCTCTCCCCGCTCTAATGTTTAAAGCTAAAGTGCTTCTCTGAATTGATTTAAATACAAGTTTTATATCTTGAAAGAAATAAAGATGAGTCTTTATCTTCAGACAAACCCCCTGTTCAATGATGCTGCTGATCTTCTCTCAGCTGATGTCTAAAAGGGAGTTAGGTTGTTAGTGGGTAATATTGCTTCTGTTCACGTCTCTCTTCTCCAGGGCTTTTTAAACCTATTTGTAATGAAAAGGCTGACTTCCTTACACAGACAGACTCCATGTGTAGCTGATTTAACAACTTTTTTTTCTTTTTTTTCTTTTTTTCCTTCTTTTTTTCAAGGAAAACATTGCTCCCTGATGGCACCTGGTAATCTATTTTTCTCCTTTTAGGGTAAGAGAAGCAGGGAGACATTTAACAGAAATGTTTTTTTAGGCTTTTCTCCCTTTTGTCTTTTCCTAACTCCCTGTAGAGTTTTCTCTCCTTTTTTCATTTTACCTCTTCACCTTACTAGCCTTCCTCCAAATGGAGGGGGTCTGCCCTTGAAATATTCAGATAATTGCCTCAAGCCTTCAATTTATTTTCCATATGTAGACTTGTACCAAATATATCTGAAAGATACAATTGAACCTCCATAAATCAGCCCTCTTATTTCTATATGCATATTCAGGGGCATTTCATTAGTGCAGATTCAATCAATAAATAATTAAGCTTTTAAAGCCCTTATTAGATACAATCTGCAGTATCACCATCCATTCCTGTTTTCAGTCTTAGGATCACGTAATATTTTGAAGAACTGTCACAGTTCGTTCTTTGGCCCCATCTTCCTTTTGTTCCTAGATTGCTGTGCTCCTGCATCAGAAACATCATTCTACTACCTAGATCTCATAAAATATTCAAGATGCAAGCTGTTCACTTTACCTCAGAAAGACTCCACCTTCAGAATCATATGTGCCTCTTCCGTCTTTATAAATACACAAGATTTTGCCTTTCACAAAAATTCCTTAGAAACATCCAAACACCGAGGAAAAAAATAACTCAAAGGAGGATAGGCTTGGACAACAATTTCCAATTTTTTTCCAAGTCATAAAGGTAACCTAGATATTTTAAATAATTAGATTATAATACTTTGAACTTGACATCAACCTTAGGTTCTTACAGCTTGAGCAGTAAAACTAAAGAATTCTTATCAGTCAAACATTCACAAAATTGACACCAGACCTATAATCTAATGAAAACTCCAACCATTCTTTTTACTATGTCATTTTCCTTTACACTGAAATGTTAGCAGACGAACACCCTCATGTCAGACAATACAGGATATTTACAGATAAATGGAAAGACTTTTTACTTGAAACATTTGTCACCCAAAAGTTGGCTGTCCAGGAAACATGTTCTCATAGGGAAGTTTATTGACTTTCCTAAGAAATAGATCACCACTCTCTCTTGATTTCTGACATTATAGCATTTAACCTGACAACTGCAGGTTTGTAGCCAATATTTGTAGGAAAAGATACAAGTCCTGATGCTTATTCCAGTTTAAACCTGTTTTTAGATTTCAAAGAGAAATGATACATTTGCATCCTCTGATTAAATCAGGTTACTGTCTCAAAGGTTGACCATATAAATAATTCAAATTAATTCATCACTGTACAATAGATTTAATAAGCATAATAAACACTTTGAAGGAAACACTTAGGACCCTCGGTCTGCCCTTGCTCTCGTTCCCATTATCTCAGATTTCCCTGTGAACAGAACGAGTGGTACCAAGTTGTTCTCCTCTATTCAAAGTATGCAAAGTTGCTATTTACCAGTTTTCAATTTGCATGTCTCAAATCCTGCCAGAACACAGGGTGAGGGGCTTGGGGTGACTGGTGAATGTGCCAAAAGAGGAGACCAGAGTAAAAATGAAAATCCCAATGAACAGATCTTCTCCACCCCAGGGTGCCGCAAAGACTTGTTTTTAAGACAATAAAAATATTGGGTTTAAAAGGTAATGTGAAATCTCAGACATCTAGTGTCTTTTTTCCTTAATTGCTGGGTTGAAGAAGGAGATGAGCAAGGAATTCAAGATTTTTTATATACAGGAACACAAGAGGGAAAGGGGTGCAATTCTGACTATCTATAGCATACTCTTGGAGAGTAATTTACAGCCTGGGTTTTAGCCTTCCTGGACCTCTGTCTTGTGTTACTTTCTGCAGTTCCATAAATCTAAACTTGCTGACTGATAAATATTCTATATTTCTCAGTGTGTTCTGTAGTAATATATTTACAGTGGTCACATGTGAGACCACACTGATGATCAAATGTATGTCTTCTCTGACTATGTTTCCATTTTTTCATCTCTTAAAAATAATGCTTGATGTCTCATGATTTCAGATTATAAATAAATGCACACACATACACACAAATTTTTGTATAAATCACCTTTGAAGTGGATTTTTTTCCCATAAAAAGTAGAAGTGAATGCTGGTTGTATATATGGTGATATTAACAAAGAAGTGAACATGCTTGGGAACATTTTTCATTTTTGCATTTTGATAGCATTTGACTAAAGATTCACTTTAAAATAACTTTGTTCACAAAGTATAATTCTATTTCCACTGACTACATTGGTAGAGTCTTAAGATAGCCACAGGTAAGAATTAATGTCACAGTTAATAGAAGGGGAGACTTTAATGAACTTTATTAAATAGGATTATTTGGAGGAAGAGGAGAGATAGGTGTAGAGGGGAAGGTGCAGGAGAGAAGAGAGAGAGAGGGGAAAAAAGGAGGGGCGTGGATAATGACAAAAAGTAGAAGGAAGTTATTCTTTTTAGTGCTCTCCCACAGAGAAAGGAAAGGCCTGATAAAGTTAAGGGAAGAAGCCCAGAACCAAAGGACATCATTAATTAAGGGAAACCTCAATCATTTGGGCCAGAATATAGGGTGTCTGGATAATCAAATATGTAGTTAAGAGTTAGTGACCTTACATTTCATCAAACACTTGTTAAGACTCCTCCAGTGCAAAACTCCATGCAAAGCCCTGGGTCATAGCAGAGGCCCCTGAATTTCTTCTCTCTCACTCTCCTGTCTTCTCCACTTTTTTTAGAGGCAGATCTTATCTTGTTGCTGTCCTTGAGTTCCCTTAGTGTTCTCTGAGCAGATATGCTAAACTCCTTATCATATCCTCAGTGTTCTCTGAGCAGATATGCTAAACTCCTTATCACATCCTACAAGACCCTGCAGGGTGTGGGCTCTGAGGTTCCACTCCATGTCCCTGTCCCCTGCTGCAGCCAAAATGGCCATTCAGACCCTCGAATGTTCCTTCCACCTGCTCCTCCTCGAGATACCAAATCACCAGGTCTCTTCCTCAACTTCTCTGACACCCCCACTCCCACTTGACACTGGGGGCAGATAACCCTCTCCCCCAAGACAGTAGCCTGTATCTTTTTCCATGGCATACATCACAGTTTATGCTTACTATATCTACCTCAGTTTGGATTCTGAGAAGACTCTAAAGCAAGGATTTGAGAACAAATATTTTATTTGGTAGCTGATCCTAGAAAACATCTAGTAAGGGAAGTGAGACAGGGAAAGGAAGGGAGCCCGTAAAGAGCATCTTTTGCCCAGCAAGGTATCACCACGGGCAACTGAGCTTTATCCTGCTGGGGAACCAATATGGAACACACATCAGTTATCCCACCCTAGGATTGTGAGAGCTGAGGTATTTATACATCAATTACTGTTAGCTAATGATTGAATAATGTTCTCAGGGGCATTGACCCCCTGGTACTACTTCTGGCTTTCCATGCTCTTAGGCAAAGAGATACAGATGATGGCAGTAGTAAGTTAGCCAGGTATACACAATGGTAAAATTCAAGGCGCTATGGGGGCAGTTCTGCTAATCACTTACACATGTACATGTGTATATAATAGATACATATATATGTATATTGTATTCCCCACTAGACCCTCATGAGAGCAGGAACTGAGTAGCAGTGTCTCTTCCAGTGCCTGTGCCTCACTTCCTATGGTCCACCATAAAATCACTCCCCACTGTCCAATACTCTCATCTCCCTGGTTCCTCTCACCCTCTGTTGTACTCACTCTGAATGAACCTACCATCCTTCTTCTCTAACCTGCACCCAAGCAGATTAATGTTGAGAAAAATGACACAATAGAGCTGACAGGTTTCATTTTAAACTTATAATTCAAACTCGAAGGCATACTGGATGCTGCCTGAGAAGAAAATGATCGTTTCTTAGAACTCCCATAACCTACCTCCACCCTCACTCTCAGCTGATGACCTCATAGCAAAGTTAGACACCCTCAGTTAAGGATTTCCTCCTCTTCTCGTCCTTTCCTCTGTCCTGTTACACTGAGGGAAGTTTCTTACTGCCTTTCAAAACTAATTCCTCCATGGATTGTCTGGCTTCTAATCCCCTCTGTCTTCCTAAAATC